TTGTAGTTCTTAGTTTAAATACCTTTTAAAAAAACTACACTTGTTCATGTTAATTCCGTGCATACATTCATCATAACTTTAAAAAATGTTAAGTTTATCATAAAGTATAACGATAACCGGTGGGCAAGACCGCCAGATGAGCGGACTTTTCAAGCAAACAATCAATTCGTATTTTTTTCCCTGTCGATTTAGCGTTTTTAGAGATTTTAATATCTCGCAACAACCTGCAGCAATCAATGATCAATATCTTGCGCAACACACGATAACTAATTCGGAAATAAAAATGGGCGAAATGGTTTTCCACGAATTTTTGGAATCCGGGTACTCTCTCCAAATTCAACTCCCCGTCGTTCCGGAGATGATATTATAAACAAACACAGGCCAAACTGACGTACACAGATTTTAATAGTATAAATCTCCAAAAAATTTTAATCTCTATCATAATTTAAAAACAAAATACCTGGCATTTGAGGTTCCTGAATCCTAAGTTTATCTAGTCCTGGTGAGTCTTTTTTCCGATGATTGCCGTTTGCTTAAGGATCAAAAGCAAAGTACCAAGTTTTACATGCAGTCACAATTTGTTTAAAAAAATCGAAGTTAACATCTGCTATTTCGATCAAATCATGACTTGCAGATATTCAAACTTTTATCTTCTTTGTGAGAGACAAAATGCGAATTCTCTTATTAAAAACTTTAAGTAATGATAAGTCTTCCATTTCATAAGCAGTGCTTTTACTATTCGAGATTGTAAAAGGTGACCATTTCTAGCTCCAAGCTCAATGTCTTTCTATCCATCACAAAACTGTCCGTACCCAAACGAAAACATTAGATTAGCTAATGCTTGATTACCGTATGCTTTTCGGAACATTTCGAATGTCTGTTTCTGTTTTCCTAATTTACAGTAAGCCTGTATTGCTACTTCTTGCTCAAATTACATACCAATGACAAATGATACTCAATGAATCAAAGCAAAAGATAAATCGTTAAGAAAAATTCTGTTTGTAAGCAGATATATGTTAGAAAAAGTAAATTGAGGTTTGATAGCAACATAATCTGTGAATTCAGATTTGACTGATTTGCTATAGTCCGTTGAGACAATGCCAAACCCTTATAGATGCATTGTGTATGTGTGAATAAATTGTTTAGCTATGTGGGTCATATGTTGTCAGAAAAGTTGTGAAAAAATATTCATAAATTGTATGATTAAGAGGCAACTAAAAGCAATTTAAAACAAATAGTAAAACCTAATTTCTTTATCGACTTTTAGAAACTGATAGCTGCTCAACCAAGATAGTGGTTAGCGACTGTTTTCCGTACAGAAGGGCCCGGGTCCGAATCCCGGAGAAGGCATGGATGTTTGTAAATGTATAGTATATGTGCATCAAAGGGGCACTCTAAATATGCGGCGAGTCAAACGTTCTTTTGAGAGGATGGTGGTAGGAGACCCTCGGACCTGTTTCCCTGGGGTAATCTAAATCGGGGGTGGAACTCAGGAAAGTGATACTGTCACTTGTATGGTGCTCAAGGCTCTTGCTAACGATAGGCGCAATCTTGAACTCCTTGCCACCATAAATTTCGTAGACTTCTTTTGTTACTGATAGGAATGTGAGATAAATTACAACAGCAACAGAATTTAATAATCAACACTTTGAATTTATTTGATAAGTCTATTTTATAGCTAGTTATAACGACCGCTCGTGTTCTAAAGAGAAAGCTTCTTATAATAAGTGGTCACTATAATGAAAATAAACTTAATACACTATTATCATTTGGTAATGTTATGAGCACCTCATTGTAATGCAATAGTCGCTTTAGGAAGCAATATTTATTATGAACATAGAATTTATTAGTTGATCAAGCATGAAACAAAAAACTGAAGTAGCTAACAAGGATTTCAGTAAATGATAGAAGAAACTATTATTTCCACTAGAAAAGTACCTTATCAAATACCAAAGTACACTGGTTGAAATTAAACGCTTGATTGAAATTATTATTACTCTATTAAGATATTCTCTACCTTAGAATTAAAAGCATAAGTAGTTAATAATTGGACATGTAAATTTAGTTCAAAGACCTTGATAATTGGAACTTAATTTACAAGCAAAAAATTAAATAATTAAATACTTTCTAAGCTTTAACCATATTTATTTGAAAACATTTATTCATTTTAAGATCACACAATGTTAATAACTTATCTGGCATTAAAATAAAATTAGATATAAAATTAATTACTTTACTTAAAACAAACTACATACATTATAAAATCTTATTCATCTAAAGTATAGCTCTTCTATTTTGAGCATATAAAACTGAGTCTGTTAACAATGCCATAGCGCTGAACCGTGTAATGATTTCCATTAAGATAATGGGGAAAGGTTTCAGTGTTTGGTAAATTGCTTTCACTGAAAGCTATTGAAGAGAGCATGTTGAAAGGGAGTTTACTTGTGATAGTGGGAAAGGTAAATAGTCATTTGAAGTTGCTCTAATTTGTAATATTCACTCAGAGTGCAGGAAGCTCTTATAACTTCTAAGAGTTGTGGTATAGCTTAATGTCCTATGCATATCTACTTTGTAATTAATATGCTAATGAGTTTAACAATGGTTTTAAGAGGAGCTTAGAAACTGAGATATATTTGCGCTGTAAAATAGTATTTTTTTGTTTCAATATTAACGGATTTCTAAACATTTTTACTTCTATAAAATTATAAATGAAGCATAATTATAAGCATAGGTTTATTTATAGAATGTAAAGAGATTTTGTGACATGTTTATAAATTTTATGAAGTATCGATCATTATTTTTGCTTCATAAATGCTCATAGAATAATCTTGCTTCAGTAATGTGAGTCATACTGCATTCCTTTATTTTTCAGATGTTTGCAAAACTTCGAAAGTACTTTTTCAATTTTATTTTTTTTACATGTCAATTTTGCAGTTAAAAATGTCCAACTACTTTAAGCTATGAGGATACCTAATATAATTCTTAGTTCTTTTTAGAATACTTATACGTGTTGTTAACATAATTTTATCTCTGTTAGCTTTATAAGGTTCGTTTCATTTGCTATAACTCAGCTTCAAGGCATTGACTCGGAGCCCCCTGGTACTCCTCAGTTTGTAAGTGGAACTGTAATTTTGAATCTAACTATTTTAGTTTATTATTTGACTATTTGTCATTAATTTAACCTAACCTATGAATTTATTTATGTATCCTTTTACATTTTATTTAGTTTGAATTATTAATTAATTATTTTTTATTAACGTTTCCTGATGGATTTCCATAGGACTCCAACACTAATTTTAGAAATTAAAAATCACCTTTAATTTTTTTCTGTACCTTCAGTTTTTCTTTGACCTTCACCAGAATGGATGAAGCTTAAATAGAGAATGAAAGCAATATTTTATATAGCAATATATTTTATATATCTTTGGCAACACCCCAGTAGCTGCCACTCTTTCCTACCTAACTTCTGGCTAACCCATGTCCAAAGCGATATGTGGTTTCTTCGTCTGTTAAGCTAAGAATTAACTGCAGTGTTCAGATTTGAACCTGAGATTTCATAGATGAAATTTAAGCATTTCTTCTTGCCGTTTTTGAATCATGATAAGTAACATGGATACCTTTTGTTTGACCTTTCGTTAGCTGTGAAGACAAAATTATCAGAGCAAAGTTATGTTAAGGAATATTATAATAGTTAAGTACTTAACGCTTAACTTCCTTAAAACAATCTTCCACAATGTCATCCTTTCCTTTAGGCAGATAATCCTTAAGCGTTTTGCAGTAACCTAATTTTCGCCATGAGATGAAGTTGCTTTTTATTTTAACCGTATCACTTTTCTTATCTCTTTAAGAATTTTAATTCAAAATCATTGTAAATGTTTTCCTTCGGGTAGGTGTCAAACCTGAAGCTCCATTACATACCGAAAGAAAAAAGGAAATATTCCATTGAAAGAACTGTCCTTGTCTTTTTACTTTGTGCTATGAAGCCATAAAATGCTTTACGAAAAAAATTGTCTTTTAGCATTTCACTTTTATTAGCTATTCATTGGTTTAGTCATTGATTGCTTTTAATCGTTAAAATCGTTGAGATGAGCAATTATACATTTATTTAAAGCCAAACACTGTTTTGAATGTTAAGCAATCGTGCAACTTCTTTAAGCTGCTACTTGTACGAAGAAATGAGGTAAAACTCTCATTTTTCAGTTAATTCTTAGTGCCAAACATTGTCGTTCTGTGTTTACTATCTTTCAAGCACTTAATGCAACATGATATACGCTTTTAATTTTATGGAAATTTATTAGTTTTAGCCTGGAATTAATTAGTTGAAACTTTAAGGAAAAATAAAAGTAAGAATTGTTAGAGGATAGTTACTTGATTGCTTGAGTCAATCCTTTAGAAGAATTTGAGAAGTTTCAGGAAAGAAACATTTCATCATCCGTCGAAGGCATTTATGCTTATTTCCGAAAATATACAAGTATTGTTGAAAAGGAAAATTCGCAATTCGTTTACCTAGCTATAAATGTAAATAACATTACCGGAACCATGTTAACAGAATAACAAATTTAGATTTGTTTGCAATGTACACCTAATATGTGAAATCTGATGAAGATCTTTGCTATAACTGTAACTGAAAAACATTTTAGATTTCTAACTATAAATTTTAAGTTTTAATGTAAAACGTATAATTATTATTAACATATAGTCATAGTTTCATAACAGTTTTAAAATTTTACTTTTCTCACGATGCTTAGAAACATCCTGTTCATGATTAAGCACATGCATAATTACGTTATTGATCTTCACCTTCTCTTTGTAGCGACACTTGCTAGTTGTTACAATTCAACTTTTACTCGTTTATGTCGCGTCGCCGCAGTTCTAGCCTCCCAAGTAACCTCCCGCCCTAACCCCTTCCTTAATCGACGGGGAGTTTTGCGCTTTCATCGCCCTTCACTCCTAACTGATGCCAAAGCGTGTGCGGACTCCGAAAACTCGGCAGACAAACATCGTGACCTGAACTGGACACGAATTTGTTTCTTACCTGTTACTTGAAACTAGACATCAATATCTTTTCATTCCGTAAAAAGGTTTGACGGCATAAATCCTACAAAATAGCCCAGTTTATCTTTATTATTTATAATACCAATAAAAGAAAATGTTTCTTAAAGCTTACTTAAAATAAAACATCGGTTTTTGATTTACATTCTATTTTGTAAAAAAATGTTTCATTTGTCCGGATTGGTTTTGCTTTTGTTCTTATTTAAAGCGAAAGCCCTGGATTCTGGAAATGGTAAGTGAAATTTAGAAATATGTAATCAATGCACTGAGAATATGACCTGAATAATTCATGAGAATAATAATTTGAATAATTTCACGAATAATAACTTTTCGTGAGATTTTTCTTAGCTGAATTCCACCAAATATGAAATAGCACTAATTAAATTGAAGTTTAAAATAAAAATAAAATTTTTAAGTTTGTTTTTAAAACTAATACTGAACTAAAATATTGCATCTTAAAAGAAAAGCATGAATTTTTGTTACCTATATAAACTAAAAGCAAAAATATATATACATATTTGTTCAGAAATTAGATACTTTTTGACATTTTATTCTTGAAAGTATTATAATATCAGAAAAGCATGCGTGTTTTTTCATGTTTTCTTTTTTAATAAGTTTGCATTTTTCTGCATTAGCTATGAAGCAAAAATTCACAACAATGCAGCATTCTGTTGCTGTAAATATTAGAAAAATGACAATTTATTTTCCTCAAAATTTTATTAAATTGGAAAAACATTTGTGAGGAATTTCCCTCACACATTCGTCAGAATAACATAAACTTCCAAAAAGTGCTTATTTGTTAAAATTCTAAAACTACTGGGAACATTAAAAAAAAAATCAAATTTTCGCGAGGAAGAAAATTCAGAAAGCGTGATTTAAGGGATATTTTAAAATTTCAGATAATTACGCACTTTTAGCATCATTCATTTTTTCGATGTATATGTTATGAGATCAAAAACATATTTTGTACTCTTATTAAAAACCGCCCAGAGGGAAAAGTTGTTAGTTACTGACTGCTGTACCGAAGGACCTGGGTTCGAATCCTCGAAGCCATTGATATGATTTGTCTGTCCCTTCATAGGAGGTGTCGGTGCCTCACCAATGAGACTCCTTCGTAATAAAGAGATCGCTGCTTAAGGCCTTAATAGCAGCTGACGCCTGTAAACGGCATGAGACCCCCCAATGGGGGAAAGTATGCTAATTAAAATTAAATTTATTAATTACCAACTATACGAGTATTTTAAATTGAACATTTAAAATATTGCATGTTGCATTATATAAAAACTGCACTTTTAGTTTAGCAGTTAGTTTTCTACTAACTGCGATTTATTTTTCATTTTCTTCGGAGTAATTTGAAGTTTTACGAATAAGTTTTAAATAATTGAATAAGTTCCTTTACCTTCTAAACTTCTTAATTATTCTTACTATTACCTTGCGAACTTCTTAGTTAGTTCCAAAGTTCTTAATTATTATTATTGTAATTATATCGTGATCGTAGTTTTTTTTTGCTACTGTAGTTAGATTGTAGTAAATATATTATGGAATATTGAATTATTGAAACATTTATATTGAGACCTAAACACTTTCACTTTTGTTGCCTGGGGATATTAGAATGGAACACTTAAGTTTCTTTTGGAATTAAAATTTAGATAATGAAATGATTTAGATTCTTCTATGCTACTTAATAACACTCTCAGAATATTAGAATATACAAAAAGTACTTATTGGAAAAAAGTAGGAGTATAACAGTAGCATTAAATTTACATTAACGTTAGATAACAACGAATTATCCTTTTTTTATGTACCACCCCATCTATAAATAGTCCAAAAGACATGTAAGCAATGTATTATCTAATTAGCACAATAAAAGTATTCATTGAAATAATTTGCTTCATATGAAAAACGGCGTTGCAGACAAATGGGCGTATTTTTTAAAACTTTAGTAAAGAACAAGAAATATTGTTGATTCGCTGCAACGTTTTTCGGTATTTATAACATATAAAACGTATTTAATACATTTTCGTTATATTGCATTAGTTAAGCTATCGTTTTTCGTTTACATATAAATGTGAGGTCAATATGAAGTAGCGAACTTACGGAAATGCATTTGCTGTTTTCTTACGATCTGATATTGAAGTCTTTTGACAGTCTTACTATCTGATAAGTCTTACGATCTGATATTGAAGTCTTTTGACAAAATAGTCATTACTTAATGTTTTTACTGATTACATGACTTTGCCCACTTAGATTCTTAAAGTGAGTTACGTTTTTCCTGTTAAAGAGATTATCACAATTTCAGTTTAAGCTCGCTTGGACAGGAAGGATTCATTAGAACACTGATTATATTTTGCTTTTAGGTTTAAAATATTAAGTTAAATTTATTTAACTCTTATAATAATACAATTAATCATCATTTATAAATCCAATGTCGCATACGCCTGCTTTGCCTGTTTGTAATGACGACATCAAAGGCTTCTGAAAACAGCATGTCTACGCATCTACAGAATGCGTACGTCGGAATTGGACTGAAAGGAATAGGTAGCGACAAAAATAACACCCGAAATATTAGATGCTTGCAAAATCCTTTATTCGACTGACTGCATTAGGCATTACACTATTCGCGTACACAGCATGTAATTCTAACCAATAATTTTGAATATATTTTTCAGAATTCTCTCTCAAACTATAAAATTTGCACTTGTGTGTAATTAATATATACTTTGTTTATATTTAACAACTGAGCATTAAATGCTTCTTTTAAAAAACATATTTTGTATATGAAGCTGTTGCATAAAGCTTACTGTATTTTTTGTTTGTTTCCATTTACTATTTTTGTATTTACTTACTGATGCAAAATGTTTACTGAAATCATTTTGTTTAAATTTACCGTTCCTCCGCTTTGCTATATGTGCTTTGCAAAACAGAAATCGTAACATTTTTGAGTCACTGATGTCTTCCGTGCATGTTTTCTAGCTGAAAAAAACTGGGTAAATTATTTATACCTCTCGTGTTTATTTGAACACGATAATGCAGAATTACAAGCATTCTTCTCCATCCCCGAAACAACATTTTATTATGGATATTTGCATATATAAAGTAAATAACTGGCAGTTTAATCAGATTTTAATTGTATTTTCTTATTTTATACAAATCTATTTGTCATTAACTTTCTTAAATTTGAAGACTGACTTCCATAATGGCGCATGTATGTCAGTTTATTATAGTTTAAATCAGCTATATAACTATAAATGTAGATCTAAGCAGTGTGAAAGCATAAAACTAAGGATTTAATTCGCATTTTCAACGATTACGAGGTTAGGATGTCACCTATAAATATTAATGCACTCTAAACATATTAATACTTGAGCAATGTTTCAACAGGCACATTTATTTAATAAATTTAAGGATTTGGTTTCGATCACAAAACTTCAGTAATGATTAAAATTAAAGTTACACTTATTTCAGCTATTCTTTAACTCTAATTGACGAAATATTTACATAAACAGTATCTATTTTATTATGCCAAGGGCTAAAATGTTTTTCCCTTGTGGTTTTGTGGTGTCAAGGCCGGCAGTACGAAAGATCGGTAAAACTATTTTAAAATTTCTTGCTGATGAAAACGTTTACCACGTTTGTTTTGTCCAAACTAAGCTGGTAGATCTCTTCCAAGTCATTTTTTGCTAAAATCCTCCCATGTGCTCTTACTATCTAACCAGTTATCACATTGTATCACTTATTCGCAGATCCTTCATTAAATTTCCAGCAAACGTACAATTCATATTTAAGGATTTCCATGTTTGTTTCTACAGCTACATTTGCATTTAAGATGTATACATCATATCCAATTCTATATTTTAACAGATCATGAGAAATTTCAAGCAGACATTAAACATGCTAATGATTCAGCGTACATTGAAGAAAGAAAAGGAGAAACAATCTCATTTAAGGTGTATTATGCCCATTAAAAATATTCGTACTTAAGTAAGATTTTATGAAATAGAGAATTTGAGTTACAAAGATTTCACAAAAGGGAGAATTTAACCAAGAAAAGAAAAACAATAGCATATGAATCCCATATTAAGTAAATTTGTATATTTCTTGAAATGAAGAATTAATCTACATGATTTCGAGATTCATTAAACCTCCAAATTCTTATTTAATTCAATGCAATGAAGAACAAAAAATCAACGCATTTTCTGTTATCTTTTCAATAGGAAAAATTCAAAGGCGGAAAGGATCTGACATGTTGAAGCTTCATTTAATTCTCATTGCATTAGCTAACGATATGATCAATACCTTAATTACTTTCCAATGGGAGGCAAAAGATAAATTTTTAAAATTTTGCTATTTTGTTCATATGGAGGGTTTTAGAGTTGCTTATAACTGAGGCAAAGTCTTCAGAACACATAAGACATTAGCACAATTAAAAATTTAAATAGTCGTTTAATGAATTTTCAACACATTTGAAATTTTAAGCAAATCTATTTATTTCATAGTACCCTAGAATCCGAATGTGACGGTGAATAAAAAAGCGATCCTTTGTCCACAATGCACGTCAGAGTAAAGATGTATAATTCAGCACGAACAAGAACAGCAGAAATTCGGAAAAAAATGTCAGGTTAATTATCCTTTCAATAGAAATATGATAATAAAGTAACCATTAAGTAGTTTTTTAGCTTACACATATACACTCACACACACACACACACACACACACACATATATATATATATAAATTAGATTCTGTAGTAGAACGCAGGTTGTTGTATCCAGAATGAACAGCTAGAAATTTGACACCGTAGAACGCTGAAACGCCGATTCACAAGAAATAAGATATTTGGAAGTCAAGGCATATTTAATTTTTATTTCAATAAACACGTTGTGGCCACAGTCAAGTTGACACATTAATTGTGCCTATTCGAAAAAGTTTACACTTTTTGATAACTTTGTAGCAAGAAAGCAGCAGAAGACGGACAACACTCTAGCTAGGCCAAAGCGTGGAAACAAGTGTGTTATGTTCAGAGTGAAATCTTTATTCAGTCTGAGTTAGTTTTATTTCTCAATGCATTTCTATTGGATGGTTAATATTGCTGTAAAATTACTATTGGCTGTTTTAGTTTAATTTACATCATCATAATTATGTAAGAGTCGTGTGATATAGATTTTTCTCGAAATGACGCAGTGCAAATAGAGGTTACTATTTTTAAAATACAGAAGGGCATTAATTTTCGT